GCGTGCATTTGGACACATTCGATTTTCAAGGCAATAATGTAGTGAAAATTAATTGTTCCACAGAAAGTTGGGGGTAAACTTTGTTAGCTTTGAAGTAAATTTATAAAGAAAAAATCTTACATATCCCTTCTCCTACCAAAAGTCAACAATAAAACTTAAGAGCATAATTATCTCTGCATGTCCCCTATTAATAGCTACATTCAAAGTATGTTAACATCTACACAGTAGAGTCTCCCAAAGACTCTGTGTTGCACAGACGGCTTTCTACAGCAGTAAGAGTCTGTCTTTCAATGTGTTGTCAGCTGCTACCTCCTTAACTGCAAATTAAAACTGGTTAACACTTGCTGTTTAAGCAGTTCAGAATCTTTAGCTCAGCTCCACACTGCATTTATTAGGTTTGTCTACTTTGAACTTAAAAGATTTTTTCAGACACACAAAATACCCTAATAAAACACCAACCCTTATTTCCAAAGGCATTATGTTAATCTGCTTATTTTAACATGTTTAATGATCTGAAACATGAGCATTTAGCATTTCCAAAACGCGTCCTTTGCCTTTTAAAACACATAACGCAGTCACTTCGCATTGACTTGCAAATTATTTTCAGATAATGTGAATGCCTTATGATCCTTCCACCCCTGTTTTTGCAAAGGCTAGAAAAAGCCTTTGAATAAATTAAGAGATACATTGCAGTAATGTTCACACTAATAAAGAAAAAATAAAAAAACTAATTAATTGATTAAACGAGATGCAGACCAAGAAAGTAACTAGCACGTATAGAAGTCATCTTAAAAAACATCTAAATAACTAAGTTTAAAATGTCTAACTATGGTATGTTGTGCACATCAAAAAGCAGAAACATTACAAATATGAAAGCCTGCTTATTATCATATCTTCAATAAGTCTACAGCTACAATATTAATATCAGCTTATGCATTATCATCTGCATCAGGCTCGGGGCCAAGGGACCAGCTGCTGTGGTGTTTGTGTCTGCTCCACTTTGTGCTTGGTGTTCTGTAGCATTATCTCTCTTCAAGCGGCTCAGTATTAAAAATCAGTCAGTAAAGTCAGTTTTAAATACTGTCAATGCCACTATTGTTTTTCTAAATAAAAGTGCAAAACACACTTAGGACCACCGACAACAAAACTGAATATCAAGTGCTGTAATTTGAGTCTATTTAATTTGAAACAAACCTGCTTCAGAGCTGACATTCACTATATAGCTCATCCAGCTCAGTGATAGGGCTGCATAGAGTGAGACATCGTTGTAAGCCACTAGTTTAAGGTATCTCTTCACAGTTCAAAAACGTGCAGTAGGAGACTTGGATGTGATCTAGGTTCAGGGACGAATGCAGCTCTGCTTCCTTCAGGATTGGGGAAGGCGGTGTCCTGCAACAAGAGTTTTTGACTCTACCTTGAGTTGAAAGAGGTGATGTCACCTTCTGTATCAGGCTCAGTGTCCATGAGCCCTAGTACACACCCATGTGCTCATCAGTCCCTGTGCTGGTCAAGGTGTGTGTCTACTGTAAGTGAGTGTGTGTAAAGGGAGGATTACAGGAAGAACAGGATCTTGACTGATCGCCAAACAAGACCTAATGCCTGAGTTCGCAGTCAGCAGGAGTGTCCATAAACCGCAAAAGCAAGGCCACCACTGGTGCTTATTCTGTGTTTCACGAGGGTTTAGAAACGCAACCTTGCTGTGATCTGAGGAAGCCTTGGGGTGTTCACAAACATTGCCTATGCATGGTTTTTGAATGTGTGTCAGTTCTTTGCCTGTCGTGCCTGAGGTGACAGATTACGATAGACATGTTGCACAGATCTCACCCTTCAGAAGAGCCTGGAGGTGGCAGAGGATCTGAGAGGCAGGGTGCATAATTACAGTCAGTGTACTGGGTCACAGAATCCCTGAGGCTCAGAATACAGGAATCTAGACGGCCAGAGAGACACACACTGGTGTGGAGACCGGGGGAGCATGCTGTTGAGGGAACTGAAGGGTGTGCAGCTTCAGACTCCTCATAGAGCACGAAACTCTTCTGCACAGAAGACTAAAACAGATACCTTGCTTTGTTGAGTGAGGAAAAATGAATTCCAGCTTTCTCTAGTTACCGTTTAATTAGTAACCTCTCTACTTGCTTAATGTGAAGTACATCAACCAAATGAGCCAAAGTCAGTGGCTCCCAGACGATCTTCAATGTAAAGGAATCTGAACAACTGTCTCGCGTTTCAGATGAAACTCACAAAGACACATGGTACCACTGTGCCACTGCTCAGCCTTGGCCGGTAATCAATACTGATTATCCCATGTAAAGACAGGACGGATAGGAGTAGCTGACAGCTGACATAGCTATTACATCCTGGCCTGCCAAACACAGATTTCAATATCATTTGTGAGATAGGGATAAAATATCTCAATTCACTTAACACAGAGTTCTCACTAAAAAAATGCTTAAGGTCGGCCAAAAGTTCTACAGAGAACAGCCCCACTGCAGGGAACATTCGCAAGACAGATAAGACTTCCATTCCAAGGAGCTGCACATGTGAAGCAGAATAAAGAAGTTTCTGCTTCATGGTGGCAACAGTCAGTTCTTTTGCTTCGGCACGAGCTAGTCTGTGGGTGTTAGAGTCGGAGCCATATAGTTCAACAGACGTCCACACTGACAACAGCTCCCACTTTGTGGCTTAATTTGAGGAATGCCGCAAGGTAGCCCAGAGATAATATCCCTCAGTGGCACAGCTCGTTAATTAATTAAGAATGGGCTTTCATGTCATCGTGTCATTTGGCCACCTGCAGGCCTTTTTCTGCCAAGGGCCCCGCTCACTGCAACACTGAATGAGTAGAAGTTCAGAGGGCCTGTGAGTGCGAGCCGGGGACTGGGCTTGATGCAGCCTGTCAAACGAGCAACGTCCACGAGCTCTTCAGCAATCTGGTCCGTTTCTTTCCAGATCCAGCCAAGTCGTTCTTCTATTATTAAAGACGGTGCTGCCTTATTGCTCCTTGTCATTAGGAAAATCTGGATTGCATTTCAGCTAGCAGTCCTGTGACAACCCCGTGAGACTGGTGGACCTGAGTGCGCTGAGTCCGCTGACTAATCAGATGAGCACTGAAAGCCCACAGAATAACTGAACAACTTTGCAGAAGTGCACATTTTATTCCCCTTTTTCAAAGTCCTGCTGCAATTGCCACATGCAATACATGTATGTAGAGGCACACTCTGTAAGAAATAAGAAAGGTTATTTACTTATTTAATTTTAACTATAAGAATAATTACAAACAAGTAGAAGCCATTTGGTCCATCAAGCTCGTTTGCTTGCCATTAATTAACTGATCCAAGGATCTCCTCCTGCTGAGACATGAAAGAAGCCAGGGTATCAGTTTCCACATTAGGGCTGGGCAGCTTGTTCCATTCTCCCACAACCCTTTGTGTAAAGAAGTGCCAACCATTCTCAGTTCTAGAGCAGGCAGGAAAGGGGTGGAATTTGACAGAAGCCGACATGTGAATGAATGAAGTGATGTCAAACCGATCCGACCCTGCTGAAGGAAGTGGAAGTGCTTTGGTTAATAGTTATAAATAAAGCATAAAAATTGCGTCAAGAGTGTCACTCAGGCTGCGAGTGCGATATACTCGCCAAGCCCAGCGAACACACGAAGGAGTTAAACAGGCATCACGGCAAAGCTCAAACAATTCCCTTAAAAGACCCCAAACGAGCTTGTTAGCGCGGCTCCTTCATTATTAATTGCGGTACAGCTGTTCCTCTGGCGCGCTCGAAAGCCGGGGCCCGTCTTAAGAGCACTCGTTGAATCTGCGGCTTGACAAACACGGACTCTGCGCCACAGAGAGAAGACAAAGCGGTGGTTTCAGGCTGATTAATAACAACACGCAATGAAAGACCAAATGAAATCTCAATCACGGAGCGACGCCTGAACACAAAAAAAAAAAACCCAACAGAAATGTACAGCACGTCCTCGGTTATAATTAATTTTTGCAGATGGGCAAATTAAGTGTCGCGAGAATAGCTTCAAAAACAAACAAAACATGCAAATGTTCGTGACGAGACTCCTGCGACGTTAACACATTACAGCGCCGATACATGCTGTGTGTTCCGAGTAGGATTACTATACTGTGGGACAGATATTTTGCAATTGTTCAACAAAGTGAAAAGCCAGCTTCAGTCAAACCGCTGATTAAAATCTTCCTACAACAGCATAAATAATAGGAAAAAGAAACATCTGAAAAAGGGCATACATAGCGACAGGAGGAGGGCAGATCAGAGGCCTACTGAGCACCTACAACTGCCCTTGGAGCGGGGACAGCAGTTAACCCCCCCGTGTTAAATATCAGCTTCAATCTGAAACGCTTAACTGACAGCTGAAACCACAGTTCAGAGGTCAGACCACCCCTTCAGCCGCATGGTCACCATAATATCACGGTCCAGAAACTCCATTCTTGTTGTTTGTCATCTTTGTGCATCAGGGCCGATCGATCTGGTGTTCCCTCCTTACTCCAGAGTTGACAGTGAAGCAGGGAGGCCTGTCCAAGATCTACCACAACTCAGGCGAGAAAGTGTTTGTGCTGCGTTATAGAAGCCAGGCTCTCAAAGAGAGCCAAGTCCACCACCACATGGGTCAACATGAAAAGCATGAGGGGTCAGCATGAAGCCCATTTGATGCTACATCTTCATCAGTCTGGCCTTAAAGTCCTTTTTCTGTCCCCTGGCCCACTGACCATGACTAGTTAGGGAAACAAGGCAGACTTGTTTTTGGGAGTTGGTCCCAGGACATCAATTCTTTTTGCATGTTTCACCCAGTACAACGTAGGATCCTGCCATTATAACCTTGAGCTCTCTTGGGAATGAGGTACTCTATTTCAGTCTTTTGGCCTGTGTATTAGTTTACTCAGTTCTGACTAACCAGTCCTCTCGATAACAGCCTGTCAATACCCACAGAAAACAACTCTTTTGATTATGTTTAATGAGACAAAAAAAAACTTTATTCAGTTCTCTATAAGGAATAAACAATTTAAAACATATAAATGAACCAGACATCTGAAAAAAAACAAAACAAAATACAGAATAAAACACGGAATTAGTTTCCCATTTGGTCACTCCAGTTACACTAAACAACACTGCCATCTAGAGGTCAAATGAGTCAACTAAGTACCTGATGTAATTCAGTACAAATGTTTGCATTTCTCTAAAGGGAAATTAAAGTGCATTTGTGAGCAGCAGTGTTTTAGTAACTATGTTCAACATACGTTTCCTAAAACAGTACAGAGATGACAGGAATGTTGAATTAAAAAATCTATGCATAACCTAAAACCTGCACTGATTTGTACGTGCAGCAGGCATTGCGACTGAAAGGATCACCTTCAACCCGAATCCATGTGCTGCTTTTAAAGAACTGCTGACTAAATCCTGGAACACAGATGCCTTTGAGCTAAAAAAGCCTAGCATGCAGGATTGTGGCCTTAGAAAGACAACAACAGAGACCTTGGGCACAGACAATGCAGGTGCACTAACCTGACCAAGGGCATTGGTATGTGTAATACAATATCGCATGCTGATGATACACAACTGCTCGTCTTCATCAAGTCTATACCATTGTCAGCAGCTTATCTGGTTTACACTTTCTCACTATTGCAACACACAGAGGACTGCTTTGGAGCAGATCTTGAAAAACAACTGACACACAAGACCTCTAGGATCTCAGAGTCCTTGCAGTGCAGAAAGTCATTTACCCAAGAAATATTGTGTGCTGAAAAGGCAACAGTAAAAAAAAAAAGCCAGTTTTCACTGAAAAGGAAATGACACTCTGCGGTTACAAATTACACACTACCGTCTTAGGAGAAGATGAGCAAAAAAAAGTGTTGCACACACGATCCCCTGTCATCCATTATTATAGGCCCTCTTTTGAGAACATTTTCTGTTCTGCTCAGTAAAAGCCCTGCCTGCAAATCAGTGGTTTTCCAAAACAGGCCCTCCCTCCATGTGCAACTTGAATTAAAAAAAAGACTGGGAGCTCTGAAGTCAAAATAAAAAAAAAAACAACAAGACAGATTGAGTCTGGTCTGCACTGGGTCACTTATCATTTGAAAGGAACTGCCAGGCTGTGATTAAGACATGTCAGTTCATTTCTTTAGCTCTGCCTTGTCCGTCTCAATAATTACGTTCAGTAATTTTCTAGAAAAATAAGTACATTGGTGACAGCCAAATTAAAGCGTTTCTTCAGAGACTTGAATACCGGGAAAGAGGAGAAGAGAGGACTGGAAAGGCACTTTCTGAAAGGGCAACTGTAATTAATGCCAGTATTCAAACTGTGAGCCTCAGGGATGCTTCTTTATCCACGAGCCAGTATTCAGCACTCCACCGAACACGCGGAGCTGTGCAGTTCATTAAAATAATCGGCTGGAAAATTTCATGGGATAGTCCCACCACCCTAGCAAGAGCCGAGATAAAACCTGGTTCAAGGGGCACTGAAAGAGGCTGCAGTATTTCATTGATCCTACATCTGGCGAGCAGGACATCCACAAAGCCCTGAACTCAAAAACGGGTCTTTGACGACAAGGACAGAATTCAAGCCCAAGCACTTTCTCTATATGTAAAAATAGAAAGGCATCTCTGTCGCACATGTGTAAAACAGAATCCATGGTGTGAACAATTTAAGAGGATTAAAATCTGAGGGGCTTTGTGAATGGTGTTAGGCCAAGTCACCCAGGGAGTCGGAGAACTTTCTCTCGCAGTACTCGATGTAGTCAAACTCTTCCATGCTGAAGGGGGCGTCTTTCCACTGCTTCTTGGAGAAGCGTCCGTCGGGGGTCTCCATGACGAAGTTTTTGATGGACAGATTGGGCAGAATCACTCCCTTAAAGATCATCTCCATGCCCCACTCCTGCACGGCGAGAAATAAGCACACACTTAGATCACGGGACTGTTTTGGGAAGCACACACCACATTCACGCGGATGCGGATGAGATCAACCATTCTGCCCGGCCTATCGGAAAGGCTGTAGTGGAGAAATGATTTTCCCTTCCAAGTTTCTTGGGAACTCGCAGGGCTTGGCAGTGCACTTCTGTGGGACCTCTTCCGAAATGGCTTGATGGAATTCCTCAGACCGCTCCTGACAACCATGGCCCAGAAGGATGAGTCAGTGCACAGGTCTCTACAGCTGATGGGGCAGATGACTGCAGGGGGGTGAGGAGGTAGGCCTTGCAGGGGCTTTAAACTTGACTTTGCTGAGGGCAATACAGTTCCGCATTACGTGCTACTGTCTGCATTTTCAGTACAAGTGCACAAAAGCATGTCCACCCGCATCCTGTACCTCTGCAACACTTGAATCCCTTTTCTTGGATAATTAAGATACAAGCAATCAACTCAGCAACTGCCCAAGCACTGGGGGAATATCCAGTCTCAGCCCAGGCCAGCTCCCCCACTCTGTGGGTACACTGCCCAGTCTCAGCCCAGGCCAGCTCCCCCAGTGTGAGGGTATAAGGTGGGCACAGCTGTACTTACCTGGCCACAACCAGCGCAGCTAATTGCACAGCCCGGCTCCCAGTCTTCAAACGTCCGTGGAAGGATGACCTTTCCGCCCTTTTGGTAGTAGTACCTGAAAAGCCAGCAGGGAAAAAAAATGACAGTTTTAACAGTGACAGAGCCATCGCCGCGTCGGCTGGGCCCAGCCATATCAAAACGAGCACCCCAGAACTGTCCCTTTCGTAACACAAACATCAGGCTGCTTGACCAGGTCTTTGCCTGACCCACAAAGTACAAACAGATGCCTTTGTCTGAAGGCTGGTCGCTAAATAGAGTGCATATAGGGTTTCAGCGCCACAGGTGAAAAACCAGGGCAACAACAGAACGGAAACACGCATCAGAGATTAGGGGGTAAGGGGATGCTGGAGATTCAGGCAGAGGAAGAACGAACAGAGAATCTTCGCTCACTCGAACAGGGGGTTGACCACGACGTGGTGGTTGTTCTCGATGACCTGCAGGTCGTTGCCGTGGCAAACCGCGGTGTTGCAGCGGCGGCAGTGCAGGCGCACGTTGGCCGGCCCGTAGCGGCTCCTCTTGCCCTCCGCCTTCTCCTTCGCCAGGTGGCGAGCGATGACCGCCTCCTTCTGCAGCTCCCGGATCTGAAACGGCAAGACCGGTGTCAGTGCAACTGTGGGACCGTGCTCCTGAGATCGCCAACGATCCCGCTCAAAATGACTGATCTCTAGTCAAAGTAACTTTATGAGTTCTGTATGCTTAGCCAATGGAATAATAATGGGAAATGATTCTATCACCTTTATAGTCAATGCAATCATATTCAACAGTGGGAACTAGAAAGGTCAGGGCTCAGGACTTGGAACCAGAAAGGCTGTGGGTTCAAATCCCAGGCGTGACACTGCTGTTGTACCGCTTGACCGACTTCACCCAAATTGTCACAGGCTGTATAAATGGGTGCAAATAAAGTGTAGGCCAAATAAGCCAGTATTTACAGTAAGAGTAATTAAAAAACTCCTCTTGTGCCGGAGGCCTTACAAGCACCATACTTGAGGAAGTAGTGGCAGCAGGAGGAGGAGCATTAGAAGATCAGTCATCTAGCAGGTTAATGTGGGGTAACTCTGAGGACTGGAAGTCAGGGCGCCTGGCATGAAGCCAGCGGAGTGGTCAGGCTGCAGAGTGACGCACCTTGAGCATGTACTCGCGGGGGGGCATGCGCTGCACCTCGTCGATGGCCCTCTCCATCAGCCCCTCCAGGTACTCGTTGGTCTTCTCCCTCCTCAGCTCCCGCCCGCCCTGTGGTGCCACCACCGAGTACACGCTGGCCTCGGCCCGGGCACGCCCGCTGGCCTGGGAACACCGGAGAGAGGGAGCGTGACCAAAACCGGAACCTGGGGTGAACATGCATACTCCACGCAGAAGGTCTCCCGGTGCCACAGCCCAAAACCTATGAAAAAGCAGCACTAACTGCCACTCCATGACTGCACCTTATGTGCATATAATAATAGGGCCTCCTAAGTGGCTCAGTTTGTAACGCCACACAAACCTTACAGTTTATGCAGTTTAGGTTGAGCTCTATGAGTCTGGATCCTGTGCAACTGGGACTGATGTGCAACTAGCTGAGTGAGATTAGTCAGTCAAGGCTCTCTCTCGGCTCTTAGTGACACAGCAAGCCCTGTAGCGTCCCTCCTGCGTGCAGTCTGTATGTTCTCCCTGTTGGTTTCCTCCCACAGTCCAAACATAGTGATAAGTTAATTATAATTAAGAATAATTGCTTACACTTATATAGCACTTTCCTGGACACTCCACTCAAAGCACTTTACAGGTAATGGGGAGCCCCTCCACCACCACCAGTGTGCAGCCCCACCTGGGTGATGCGACAGGGGCCATAGTGCGCCAGAACGCTCCCCACACACCAGCTCTCAGCGGGTTAATTGGCTTCTGTGAAAACTGGCCCTGGTGTGAGTGTGTGTGCCTGTATCTGTGTGTGCCCTGCGATGGACTGGCGTCCCACCCAGGGTGGACCCTGCCTTGCACCCGTTGCTTGCTGGGATAGACTTCATCTCCCCTGCGACCCTGAACTAGATGAAGCAGTTACAAAACGGCTAATCGAGCCACAGCTCCTTTTCGCTCTGCTCTCTTGTGCCAAGATGCGCATGAGGTGCCCAGCCCCTGTGGTGTGCCCACCTGTTTCATGGCGATCTCATTGGTGATGAGGCCATAGCGGACCACCAGGTTACACTCAGGGATGTCCAGGCCCTCCTCAGCCACGCTGGTGGAAATCAGCAAGTTCAGCTCGCCGTCCCGGAACCGCTGGATAGTCTCCTGTTGCTTCCGCTGCAAAGAGCACAGGCGGACCCGAGTCATAACCCGCTGAAGCAAAGCCCTGCGCTGACCGAAGGGAAAAGCTTTAGCGTGGAACAGAGAAATACAATGGGAAGCTGAAGTATTCCGAACCCTCGGTTCCAAAACATTTCGGCTACGCCCGGCTGAAGCACATCTTCGGGATCGGCAAAGAAGCAAACCAGAGGACACAAACGGAGAGTCTGGGAAAGTGGGGAACAGGAAGCACTACTTTACGCAAAGAGTGGTGAGGGTCTGGAACAAGCTACCATGCTGAACTGAACGCTGAGCCTCACACTCCTGGTTTCCATTCCAGTTGCATGAGATCCTCAGATCAAATAGCCACCAGACATCAAAGGAGGTACCGCCTGCCTTTTAACTTCCTGGCTTTCGAGAAAGCTGTGGAGGGTGGCCCAGTCCACCGAAGACAAGAGGTGTCGCGGTTCCAGAGGATGACGAGACCTCTGTGTCTGTCGCAATCGCGCCGATGCCAGCCCAGTGGGGGCTCCAGCTGGCAGCTCGGGTGGGGTACCTGCGTCATGTGGCCCGCCTGGTTGCTGACCCCGGCCCCGGTGAGGATGGCGGCCCGGATGCCGGCCTGCTGCAGTTGCGGATTGGAGGAGACCCAGCTGTCCAGGCAGCGGGTGCTGGTGCGGGTCTTGGAGAAGAGGATCCCGCGCGACTTCCCCTGAGCCCCGAACTGGTCCAGCAGGGTCCGCTCCAGCACAGCCAGGCGCGGGTTCTCAAAACACTGCTGGGCAGCCAGGCGCTGCAGCTCCGTCTCATTATCTGGGCATGAAAACACAACCGGGCACATGGCAATCAAGCACACACCCAGGTGCCTGGCTGTCAGACTCCTCGGACTGGATGAGCGCATACGAGGCACGTTTATTGAAGGTGAAGCTGAACAGCAGCTCATCTGTAACTACAAGCAATACCTTCACAGCTTCCCTAAATCAATATTTTTTGCATGGAAATAGGAGTTCTTATTTCTGGAGCCTGCTCCCAGCAAGCTGTTTTTAACCAGACCACAGATTTTCATCATTTGAAGTTGCCCCCAACAGTTCAGCTTCTCGGTTTGTTCACTCCGATCTGTAAAAAGGATGTGTTTTTGTACTGTCTGACTCCAAAAAGGCCAAGTGAGCAAAAAAGCTTGTGGTGTTTTGGCGGAAGGGTACAAAGTCGGGGGCAGCGAAGGCTACGGAGGGGAAACTCACTCTGGAAGAGTGCGAACAGGAAGCGGTCGGTGTGGTCCAGGCCAGTGCGGGTGGCCCTCTGCACGCTGTAGAAGTCCTCCAGCACGGTCAAGGCATCAACCATGCGCACGGTGTCGTTGATCAGCAGCGAGTCGTTGTACTTGCGCAGGTGCAGGGCGCACTGACTCATCTGCCTGTTCCCCTCTTCCGCGCCTGCAGGGAGACAAAGTCATGGCAACTGCCTGAAACTGCTCCAACCTGCTCTGCCACTGTCCTTTCTCTGTTCTGACATCAGTACTGACCAGCCCCAGTGCCTAAAGAGCCATCTACCAGTCATACAGGACATGGCTTGACCAGCTCCTGCAGGGCACGGCTTGACCAGGCCCTGCAGGGCACGGCTTGACCAGGCCCTGCAGGGCACGGCTTCCCCAGGCCCTGCAGGACAGATCTTGACCAGCCCCTGCAGGACAGATCTTGACCAGCCCCTGCAGGACAGATCTTGACCAGCCCTTACAGCGCAGGTTCCCAGTCCTGGTCCTAGAGGCCCACACATCTGCTGGTTTTTATTCCAGCCCTGCTTAATTACCTTAATGAAACCTTAACTAACAAGGCGCTGGAGTGGATCATTTGCAAGTTTCTTTATCTACTGAAAAAAATTGTTTATGAAATACCATAGTTAAAAGGTAAACTGCAACAAGAACTGAAATCAATCCCGACTCAAACTGAGCTTATTTTCAATTCTTCTTGTCCAGTTTTAATATAATATTCTGAGGATGGTTCCTTAAGGGACCTGGCAACACCCTCTCTGCCCCACCCTTGTTCCATTTAACCGGATTCACTGTCGGAGAACACTGGTGGAAACTGGAGTTCTCAGCTGATACTTTCTGAAAGAAACGTCTCGAGTGCAGCTGCAGAAAGAAACGGTTGAGATGTGCCCCCTGCTCACCTCTCTTCTCCAGCAGCACCACCTCCTGCTCGTACTCCTGAGTGCCAAACGTCCGGCTGATCCCTTCAGCATCCATGTAGTTGTGAATCTGCCTCATCATCTCCTTCAGCTTGTCCCCAAAGGGGTCCTAGGATAACCAAAGAGGTCAGCCCTCACTGACTGACACTGTCCCATCAGCTACAGCTAGAGGTCGATCACAAATGGCTGGAGACAACCGTTAAAAATAAACCAGCCATTTCTATTAAAATGTGGCGAGCACGTCACATGGGCAGCATGTGGCGCAGTGCTCAGCATCCCTGTCTCACAGTGCTGGGTTCAATTCTGGAGTTTAGGGCACTGTCTATGTGGAGTTTGCAAGTTCTCCCTGCGTTTCCTCCCACAGTTTAAAGACATACAGGTAGGCTCGTTGGCTTCTGGGAAAAGTGGCTCTGGTGTGAGCTTGAGCCTGCTGTGGACTGGCGCCCTGTTTAGGTGTGCATCCTGCTTTGTGCTAGCTGCTTGTGGGGACAGTCTCTGACTCCCCTGCAACCCTGTATTAGATTAAGTGGTTAAAAAAATGGAGGGATGGAGCAAGCATATCACATGTCCTTTAACAATTAGTCACTATTCCCAGTGTAAACTGTAGGAAGCTGGGGCTGCTCTCAGAAGCACAGATGGGAGGAAAGTGAAGCCTCAGTAGAAGTCCACACAAATAGAGACCATATGAACTCCACATAGACAGACACCCAACTCTTGAACTGAGCCTAAGTATCCTGAAGCTGTGGGGTAGCAAGGGTTTCATGATCTGTCAGTAGTACAGTTAGGTACAGGTGTGATTCTCATGGGAAGCTCTTCACCCGCAGCTCATGTGAAACAGTAGAGTCACCCACCAGCAGTCGCGGATTGACGATGTCGTACTGCTTTCTCGGCTTGGGGACTTTCGCTTGAAGCTCTTTGTGGTGCACTTTCGAGGAGACGATGGCCGCCGCGTCAAGGTTCGCACAGATCTGCCCATGCAAACAGCACATCAGAGAGATGACAATCAGAGTCACAACACCTCACTTGGTACTGAAGAGACACGGATCGCTATTTCCTCTCAAAAATGCCTCCTATTTTGTGTCCAAAAACCAGATTATTTGGTTTCAGTTTATTGGGGAGAGAAAATGTTCAACTTAGGGGAGACTGCATTCACTGACTTGAGGCTATGCAATCATTTGCACAACCTTTTTAAATTAACTGGAAAGAAAAACTGAAAATGTGCTCATAGTGTACTGTGTACTGTAAACTGTAAAAAGAATTCCTCTCCACTGTCTGCAGCGCTAATGAGAAAATAAAAACAAACAAGGAGCCTAATGAACTGGAGATCTTGTCCCGCTGTCTCCTTAAAGAGACAAACATAGCTGGGCAATTTGCTCCAGATGTGTACAGACCCATGTCTTCTGTGCCGATGTTTCCTGCTTCTGAATCTGTCTCACTAGCTGCACAGCTCGGTGTGTGATGCACACACAACAGGTACGGTGCATCTGTCTGGGGCCAATGTCCGTGTGTGCACTTGTGCACGAGGATTCCCATGTGCATCGCACTTTGAATTTGGGAGCTTCTCTTTCTGTCGGTGCGATTCAGGGCAAGTGCACTCCGGCAAGCCTGTGTTCAGGAGAGGGTCCGGGTGTCAGGAGAAGCACAGACCTGCAGCACGTGCTCCATGGCTCCCTCAAAGGTCTTGGCCCCTCCGGTCCCTGGGGAGGCAGTGAGACCGAGCACCTGAGGCAAGTCCCCCTGCCTCTGCAGCTTCATGGCGAGGAAGCACTCCATGATCTTATTGTACACAGCATCCTTGTGGGTGTGGTGGCACTCGTCGAAGATGAGGAGCGTGAAGTCTGCCACAGGGAAGAGGGCAAGGTTAGGGAGGCTCATGGTACTCTGGGTCTCTCAGAGGAGCCAGGCAGGTCATTGCACACTAGAAATGACAGGAATTGACATGCTCTTCTAGGTATACACTATACTGGGAAAGCTAAGGTTGCTGCTGGAAGAGGTGTTAGTGGGGCCAGTAGGGGGTGTTCACCCTGCGGTCTGTGTGAATCCTACTGTCCCAGTATAGTGATGGGGACACTCTACTGTAAAAAGGCACCCTTACTTCTGATGAGGTCCTGACTCTCTGTGGTTATTAAAAATCCCAGGACGTTCCTCGAAAAGAGTAGGGGTGTAACCCCGGTGTCCTGGCCAACTTTCCCAATGGCCATTACCAATCATGGCCTCCTAATAATCCCCATTTATGAACTAACTTCATCACTCTGTTCTCCTCCCCACTGAGAGCTGGTGTGTGGGGAGAGGACTGGTGCAGTCTGGCTGTTGTTACATCATGCAGGTGGGGCTGCACATCACCCCTGTAAAGCGTGTTGACCGTCCAGAAAGGTCCTCAACACATTAAGTATAATCCTAGATTACACTGATGTTTACAGATCAACCTCTAAAACATGTTCCTGGGAAATCATATAAGATTCTGCGATAAGACGCATCACTGCTGCCTTCATTGTGCTTGTTCCTTTTATTGAGCTGCATGCTGATGCACTGGTTCAAGACAAAAATTTAACTATTCTGAAAACTTTTGTTGGGAAACACCTTTCTAGGTGCAGACTTTATTGGCTGGTCTGTCTGCCACCTTGTTTAAGATGCTGAACACTGATCAAATGAAGATCAGCTGCTGTTTCTGGGCACCTGAGGACATTCCAACTACCTGTTGCCGAGCTAAACGCTGTACCTGTGAGATTCACATGCTTCTCCTCCTCCGTGTTCTTCAGGGCGTTCTCCAGGATCTGGGCTGTGCAGATGATGATGTCATTGTCCTGCACCACTTTGGCAAAGAAATCCTTCTGGTCGGAATCTCCGCTGATGTGCGCGATGGCGTAGGAATTCCCCAGGAAAGGCCGGAATTCCTTGTTGTAATGCTGGTCCACCAGGTGCACCTGCACCAAAGGGAAAGATGTGGGATTTGGGACAGGTTCCGTTTCCCTGGCATTGAAAGAGCACAGCTGACATGTTCTGTGTTAACAATGGACCTTACAATCATGAGAACTCCAGAGGCTGCTAACAAAGTATTTGTTGTCCACGTACAGTACAGTATTTTACTCTTCCTAAAATAAATCTGAGCACTAATTATCCCAGTGACATGCTGAAAAAACAGTATTAAATTCGGATGATTGCCCATTTAATCCAAATTATCCCTCATTTTTTCCAACGAAATGAAGTCGTATTCACATTACAACAACCAGGCTGTAAACACTTCAGTTTAAATCCGATCTACTGCTGTAGATCTGTGCTGCATTTGAAACACTCCCCCTCTTTCCATAACAGACTTCTGATTTATACCTCTAAGTGCTTAAACTAGTTTCCATGATAATCTATTTTATATCACATTCAGTCTTCTTTCAAGTCAAAGTTACCGACTGCAGGTAAGGTAAACAGAGCTTCACTGACAACGCTGCTCAGCGCAGCACGCCTGTTTGTTCAGCTGGATCCATGGTTCTCAAACATGGCAGATTGGGGCCTTACCTTGTTGACCAGGACAGCCACCTTCCCCCTGGGCTTTGTCTGCAGGTGTCTCTTGGTCACATACACCGCCGCCCTGGTCTTCCCCCCTCCAGTGGGGAGCCATATGATAATGTTCTTTCCCTCCAGAGCCATCTGGACCACCTCCTCCTGATAGCTGTACAGGTTCATCGCCACCAAGCTGAAGAGCTTGAAGACAAGACAGATACTTCTCTTCATCAGCGATGCTCAGCTCACACAGCAAAGAAAGCTGGTAGTGTTTCTTCTGTGTCTCATCTTCCTCGATTCCTCCTTTTCTTTTTATGCTGCGATTCTCTCTTCTGATGTACCACAAAGTTTAAATTATCCAGAGTAACATAACCCGAAATCCCAATTGATCATCTGTGTTTAACTACCTGTAAGCTCACCTACAGCTATGCAAGCTTATTTTCAATATTATGACCCACTCAGCAAGAACTGGTACTTCCTGTTATGCCCCTTACTTCACAAGCACATGATCCATTAAGAGCACAGAGACATTTGACACAGAACATAAAGCCACTGCCTCAAAAACAAAAAGACATGCATATGCAGGTGTAGAATTTTGTTTTTCACTCACCAAGAACTGGAACCTCTCTTCCTTGCCACACAGAACTCGTCTCTGAAGCAGCTGTCGCAGTGCCCGAGCTCAGCAATGTGATCCGCCTCCTCTTACCTTTAAATACTCAGCTCTCGGAGTCGAGAGCAGAAATCGAAACTGAAGCAACACTCCAAACAAGGGCCTCCCTGAGGGAGTATGTGGAAGGACAGCACGAGGCCTACTCTGGAAATGACAGCCAGGAAAGCCAGGATATAGACAAGCAGCCTAAAAGCACTGAATCCACTCACACAGCTTTGACAGTACTGCACTTGAGTTGGCTCCTTTTGTTTCCCCATTAACACTGGTCTCTAAATTCAGTTAGAATTTTCTTTCTGTTCAGATAATGGCATCGTTTCTTATTCCACAGCACAGACACAGTTCAGAAGGCAAAACTGTATTTACAGGGTTGCAGTCTGGGCACCCCCCTCAGAGGAGCCCTGCTCAATGAGGTAACGAAAAGGAAACCGATGGCCCAGGCCTGCAGCAGAAGTCCCCAGTGTCTCACTGAGAGCAATTCTTCAGCAAAACAAAATCACAGCCGCAGCAGCTGATGGAAAAGAAACCGAAAGGGAGAAGATATGGACCCGGAGGTCCCAGCACACACTTTAAACAAATCTCAAACTAGCCGTTTCTCCCTTATGTTTATCCCACTGACAGGAAACTGAGAAACATTTATAGGAAGCACAGTGAATATTATTATTACCTCACTATTATCTTATTACGATCACAGAAAAATCTGCCAAACCACACAGCATATTTCAAACAGTCTCCTGTCTGCCCCTAGTGCTCCATGAATCACTAACAAATGTAAATAATCAAATATCTGGATAAAAACCAACTTAATTACTCAAAGGCAAGTTAAACCATTTTCTAGAATGTTTTTGGCACCCAGTAGAACACAAGTGCCAAACACCAGACCCGCTTTCCATTTCGAAGTACTCTGTAATTTTAAGTACTTAACACATCTAATTCCATGTATTAAATAAAACAATCACCATAGCCACAAATTAACTTTAAGTTGTATAACTGTAATCATAGCTTTTTAAAATTCATTTTTAGCAACAATAAAACAGCACGTCCCTTCATGGCATCACCTTAATTATTCGTAATCCAAACCTGCAATTTCTGCATTACTTTTCACAGCAGTGTGCACCTCAAACTGTTCATCTGTTGGGCTTTTCCAAGGTGTGATGGCTCAGTTAGAAGTCAGCAGTGATTTATTTTAATTCAACTGCACTTACACAAAGAGCAAATCCTGTGCCTGCATCCGCATCCAAAGGAACAGGAAATAAAATCTCAACTTTTCTAACTTTAATTTCAATTTTGCCATTCATTATGCAATTCTTTCAAGTCATCATTTTGCGTTATTTGCGCAGATACGAAGCAAAGCAAAAGCAAACTCTGGTGTTCTTACAAAACATTTTATTAGCACGAACAGTTTACAGACTGTGCTCACAATTTGCAAGCAGCTTAAAAACACATTTTGAAAAGCCTTACTGGTTTTCCGTTGAGAAAGCTACACTAGTGAAACAACTCAGGGACTGGGAGAAGAGATGAAACCATGAAAACGAAAAGCAGTATCTGCTATAGAGGGGGAAAAAGGGATGACACCGTGAGGTTATTCAGGTTTTCAGCAAACGTCACCTCTGTTCAAGTACAATTACACATTGCTAAGAAACAGGAGATAATATCGTGGACAGAAAAAAAACAGATTGGTAGCCTGTTCGGCAGAATGCAAATGAGTCACCTAATTTTCTCTCATGACCAACAAGTACAGGGTTGATCCATCCAGGATTAGAAAGTTGCCTGTTCCCGATGAGTGTCATGACAACCTATTGGCTACCCTACATCCTGGTTGGGGCGCCAGAGATGCCTAAAATGCTGGTTTACGACTGCTGTGGGAGCTCTGGGTTGCATGCCTGATGGAGCCTCTGCTCCACCCGTCAATCAGCTGGGCGCTGTGATGACGCCATGTGGATGGAGATCGATTCCACCTGTGCGAAATGAATCCATCATTTACCTTTAACCAGCAAGGTATTTGCGACCACCCTTGACAGTGCCTCTCCGCGCAGTCATAGAGTTTAGTCTCTTGTCTCAGTGTTCTTTTTCTGGTGCTTGACTGACAGGCAGAGTACAGGCTTGACTGACTGCCGCAGTGTTTCAGATGCACAAACCAGCACTCCCACAGGAGCAGGCACGGCAGCTTGGAGATCTGCAAATAGGCAGGTTGTCTAAATACGCAAAAGAAAATCTTAGTACCAGAGCACCACACAGTATGATTTTGATCGATCATATCTCATGGTCTGTGCCCTGGTTTTGACCTTCCTCTCCCCTGCTTCATGCATTTCCCTCTCATTTTAAAATGAGGACCCTTTACCATTCAATGCGATACCTGAGCGACGTTGCACCCACTACTAACTCCGAGTCAGCAGCATCTGGAATCTTGGCCGGGTGCATCTCGCTGAACTTCTACGCAGTGCCAATTAGTTCTATGACAAGTGCACAAATGCAGCATGAGACCATGAGACAAGGGATAATTCCATAATGAAAGAGAAGCTTTTCAATCAGTAAATGGCAGTGGTTGGTACCGTTGTTTGGCATCTCTAACCAATAGCAGCACTGTATGACCTGCAGGTCAGGCACCTTATTACAGGTGAGGTCTCCAGTATACACAGAGGCACAAGGAGTTTGTGCTGCATTAACATTCCACATTACACTACCTAAAAACAGATCTACACTTGCAGTATTCCCTGGAAAACCCGCATGGAAGCCCACCCCACAGTAAACCCAAACAATATTCCCAGCACTTTCCCATGATTAGACATCGCCTTGTCCACCGCTCGTATCCTCTTGTTCAAGGACTTCAGCATAAACCTCACTTAGCTTTCAAGACTTCACTCATGTTTACTTGTACAGCAGAAAACATGGCAGCCATGTTCTTCACTAAATTACAAGTTTGAATCCCATTGACTCCCCATATCTCATAACATTAAGTCAACATATACCAGGAAACAATAAACTGATAACGATAGCTCAGCCAGGATATAGACAGTGGTTAATAAATGAACACCATTATGGCTATGAAGGTTTTTCGGATTTATATTTAGAACTGTAAATGGTAACTCAGGCTGAGCCCCAGGTTATTAAATGATGCATTCACACACAATTCATACTTTTTTTATTGTGATGAGACTGTTGGATTGCCTTTCTGGCAGTGAGAAACCTAGGTCGGCCAGAACTACATCAGCTGCAGGTTAGTTTACTTCCAGAATTCATTTAAACCACAGATGAAGACCTCGTTTCTCTCTGGAGGGTCCTCGCTGTGAACAACACTGACAAGACAGCAGGGGGGCATGTACTTCAATTCAGAATGGTCTCGTACACGCTGCAATTGAACCGAGACGGAACATTTTCAGATTCCATCCAAAACAGTATTGGTTTTTAAAAAAACTGCCCCATTGAGGAACTTATGCAAAGCTACAGGTATGTACAGGAAGGACTGTATCATTTTTTAAAGTTAAAACACCTTATAAAATCTGTACACCCTATACCCCCCCAGGCTTCCTGTCCGGTTCTCGGTTTAGCGACTCTGACATCTGTCGATTGTTGAAAGCATCTTTCCGTGTCTTTCTGGGTCTTGAAGAACCAGCGTGGGGTAGGGGAGGCACAGAGGGAACGAAACCCACAAAATACAACATTAATGGCAACAGACGTGTGGAAACTGTGCAGACTGGCACACATCGTCAGGTGTGCAGAAACCAGCTGGAGAGAGAGGAACGCAGTCGGTCCTCCCGGGCTCCGGCGACTGGGTGCTGTACAATGAACCGCAGTATCAAAAACGTCACCGCCGATTCAAGCTTCCAGGGCAACACAGACATTATTGAGACCTCTCACGCTTGGCTCCCTTTTCAAGTCAAGGCGTCTTGAAACTATGCACAAGACACCATTTCTGGGTCTGCGGTTTTCCAGGCTGAAGGCAAGAACCGAGTGCAAGCGCCCCCCAAGCCTGGTGAGGAGGCAGGCTGGCTGGCTGGCTGCCTCCCCCACCCTCCATGAGAGAGATCTCCCTTCCTAGAACGAGCGACGCCCCATCAAGAAAGCTGCCATTAAAACATACAGGACCACCGTGAGGTGATGCACAAGGGCCCACTGAGACAAACCATTTCATGAAAAAAGACCCCCCCCCCTCCCTGACTCCCCCCTGGAAAAAAAAAATTGAATTCTTTAAGGATGCGTTCACTTCAGAAACACGAGGGACTGGGCAGATGTCTTCTTCTTGAACAACAAGATCCAGGTTTTAAGTAGCCGGGGTCTCATGCCGTCGGCGGATGTCTGACAGGCGTTTCCACCATTTCCTCACCGAATCGCTTGCAAACGGAAGATTTTTAGGGTTCGTCTTTTCCCGCGCGCCCGCCGGGTACCTCATTTGTCAATCAGCCCACCCTCTTTGAGCTTGAAGTAGAAGAACTTCTCCAGCGTGTTGGCGCACTTGCAGTACTCGCTGTCGGGCGGGTTGTAGTCCCGGCAGTTGGAGATGATGCGCTGCAGGTCCGCGATGAACAGCTTCTTGGTCACGTAGTACCGGTTCTTCAGGCGCTCCGTCATAGTCTTTAGATCTGGGAAGAGCAAAACGCAGGCCGTGGGACACCTCGACTGATCCACCCGCTGAATCTGACACACAAGTTCAGGGATTCTCCCATCCGGCAACCATATTACCCTGCAACCCACAGCTGGCAGCCCACTGGAGCTCAGCAGGTGTGAGCCTGGCCAATACCTGGAGGGGAGACTCCTGGGAAAGCTGAGGTTCTGCTGGAAGAAGTGTTAGCGGGGCCAGTACCCCAGGGCATTACCCCAGCATCCTGGTCAAATTTCCCCCTTTTCACAAGGCGGGATTAAAGATCATTTATACAACTTAAACTGGCAGGCAAACAGTTAAAGTGGTAACGTCAGGCAGTTTACAAATGAAGTGGGGCATTTCTGCCCAATTCGCACTTTAGGCTGCTGAAGAAAATAACCAGGAATGACATCAAGCAATAACTTAGCCCATCGACCTTGCTTGTGAAGTAAGACAGGCTGAGAGAATGATTGGAAAATCTCATGCTATTCCAAAAAACACAGATTCTTTTTAAAAACGGCCACTCAGGAACAGAAACGACCTTTCTACTTACCGATTGGAAAGCGAATGAACTCGTAATAATCTGGGGCCTCTGTCTTCTTCACTGGTTCCATGAAAGGCCAGGCGTCTGGGTGAGTCTACAGGCACAACAAGAGATCTGCATGAGCAGGGGACCCCCTCCCCTACTGTCTAAACAAACACTGTCAACAGTGCCCACTCAACAGAGAGGAAAGAAAGACAGACAGTGACATACAAGCATGCAAGGTTTTTAAAGTGAAACAGAAGAGATATGGGACAACATGTGGTCCTTCTGTTAACACAGCCTTACCTTAATCTGTGCCAGCAAATTCTTCAGCATATTATACAGCAGGTCTGGATCTTTGAGCTCTTTGCTGCAACAGTAGATGAATAGAAAAAGGTTTTCCATATTGAATTAAAACAGAAACGTACGACTTTAAGAATCAAGAGTGCTCCAAGAAAAAGCTTCCTGTTAGTCTTGGCATTTCCGAAGTCACTCCAAAGATGGCAGCAGATTTCCTTTTGGCACGATCCATACAGATCCCCACTTTTCCACAAGCACACATCCCTACTGGGGAAAAGAGCAGCTGCTGCTGAATTTTCAGCATTGTTCTACACTTGTGAGCTCTTGAACAGGGTAACGGGAGAAATAAAAACGCAGGCTGAGCCCACACTGCTAACACGTTCACAGTAAGGAAGTGGGCTTTGGGACGTTATCAGGCGTTGTGTCTTCTCTGCCACTACAACCTGAAGGCTCTGTCAACGGTCTTTCACAGTGCAGCACAAGATGGTGACGTGTTATAGAACGACACAGGAGTAGTCCCCTACCTTTTGTCCTTGGTGCTGGGCTTCCAGCCAGTCTCTCCTACAAGGCAAATGAAAGGCGTGATGCACAGACTGAGAAGCAAGAAGAATTAAAATAACCAAAAGAACAGCCCTCGACAATTAACACAGAGTCCCAGCGGCCTGCGGCAGGGGGGGTCCGTCTGGGGGAAATGAGCCGGTGGTTACTTACGGATGCCGGGAATGCTCTCCACGGGAATCTGCCGCACTCCTTCCTTGAAGCACGTGAGTCCCGGGTACACCTTGCGGATCTGGCTCTGCTTCCTTTCGATCAGCTTCTTTATGATCTGCAACGAGAGCGAAGCTGAAACGCGGCCCTCTCCACTGCACGTCTCCGTGAGAAAAGGGAGCTGAAAACGTCCTTCCTACAGCTCCGGACATATAGACGGGATTATGGAAAGGACTAAGAGTGTCCAAAATGGAATAACGGGCGTAAGAATGAAACTATTAAAGCTATGTTGCCTTTGGCGTATCATGGAATAACATACTGCAGGCTCCCAGACAAGGCCACATCAAACTGACAGGTGTGCACAAGCCCTTTAATGTCACTGGAAAGTCACGATAGGAGAGGACATGCGACACGAGGGGTGAGGAGCCCGCAGCTGTACCTCCTTCTGCTTCTTGATGATGTGCGAGAGTTCTGTGTATGGAATTCTGGGATTGAGTTCGCACTCCATCAGCGTGGCCCCCTCGTAGTCCTTAATGTAGCCCAGGTACCGGCTCTTCGGAACCTTAATGTCTTTGGAGAAACCCTGCATCAAAGATAGGCAGAAAACGAACACCGTTATTTGGGGAAAATTACCTGCTGCTTAACCGTGAAACAGCTTTTCTAGGTTTTCCTTACTAAAATAAGGAAATTTTGTCAAAATCTGCAACTAATAATTCCAGCCACATGGGAGTGCCCGATTTCATTTTTACACAGAATGCTCAGGGCATACGTCAAATGTGCTGAAAACCTTCAAGGATCTGAGCAAGTTCACATGATCTCAGTATGCTGCCCAACTGATACCTCCACCAGTCTAACAGTCTGAATTATAGACATGACAGCAGCTACACAACCATCATTCATAACACGCAGGTACAAAAAAAATCTGGTCACTGTACAGGAAAAAGGACTGAGTGACTTTCACTGGTTTTCCAAATGACTGAATCAAAAAGGCATCACAAAACTTGTTTCCAGGTGGAATCGCTATTACAGAACTACCTATAATATCTAAATACTTCTCCACAGTGCGGAGTGATCAAGAGCTTCTGCAACGCTCTCCAGAAGCTTTAACCCACCTACCAGAACATCAAACTGAGGGCCCGGACAGGATAAGGCTGCCGAGTTTGGGGGCAGTACCTGCTTTTTGAAGTAGCCGATAGCGTACTCGTCCGCGTACGTGAGGAAGTAGAGGATGTTGTGCTTGATGTGATACTCCTTCAGGTGGTTCATGAGGTGCGTGCCGTACCCCTGGAACAGAGATCAGCGCCGGTCACCACGAGAGTGACACCGGAGAGCGTGCCAAGGGCTGCGTGCTGCCTTTGGTTTCATGGACGTTTAAAACTGCAGCTCACTGGATTACTAGAAATCTAGTTTACAACCAAAGCTGGATGGGGCAGGAACACACTGCTGTGGTTTCCTGCATAAAGACTACTGATGGATGCTTTTAGAGCATCATGCATTAAAAATACAAAAGTTTGATTTGTCACAGAAGAGGTCAAAATGTGCTAAGCTTGGGGTTATGGTCATTATGGACACTTACATACCTGTGCAATGGTCGCACAGGACCTTGAATGGCAGTGTAATGGCGTTCTGTAGGCACTGTGAATGGTATGCTGGCCATCAGAAAGGTCAGTGGGGCACACGATGAGCTTGTTGAGTAAAACGTGACGAGCCGTGCTCTCGTACCTTGACCTGCTCGTTGGACGTCACGGCGCAGAAGACGATCTCGGTGAAGCCCTGCGTGGGGAACATTCGGAAGCAGATGCCGCCGATCACCCGCCCGTCTTTAATCAGCGCCAGGGTCTTGTGCTTCCTGCGGGGAGAAGCAAGTGAACCCCAGGACGGCGCGAGAAAAACAGCTTCCATTTTAAACTTGACGCAACATTGCTTAGGCGCCACGCGGCCAATAGGAACCATCTCACACTTCTTTACCCACACCAGGGCAGACGCGAGGAGGGCGGAGTGATGGCACTGTGGCTAAGGATCTGCACCTGTGGCTGTTCAAATCCCGCAGCCGGCAGAGGAATCCTACTCCGTTGGGCCCCTGAGCCAGGCCCTTCACCCCAGCTGCTCCAGGGGTGCTGTATAAATGGCTGACCCTGCGCTCTGACCCCAAGCTTCTCTCTCCCCGTCTGTGTGCCTGTGTGTTTAATGTAGAGCTGAGGTGTGCAAAAAGACAAATTCCTAATGCAAGAAATTGTATATGACCAATAAAGTGATCCTATCTAGCTTTTGAGCAGCAAAGCCAAAGGAATGACTGAAGAAAACCACCCGGCTCAGGCGAGACACATAAAAACAACTGCACAAAGTCATACAGAATTAAACAAAATGAAGAAAATTACTGAAAGACTCCAGGAATTCAGAGCTCAGGTCCTGAAGGCAGACACACACACACCTGCTGATTGTCGTTCCTTACACGTCTTGCTTTATAACTCAACCATGAAGTCTTATCTGAACTAATGAGGTGCTTGCTTTTTTTTTCATATTCCGAATTTTGGAAGTCTGTGTTACTCCTGACATGCCGGGATTAAAAGGCAAACCCCAACATGAGTTAAGAGCTGAAAACAGCTGCGTGGCTCGAACAAACCCCGGTGTGAGGGGTTCGGCTGCGGAGCCTGGCTGGAATAAAGACCGGCAGGCGTGCTGGCCTCCGGGACCGGGAGCTCCCATCCCAGGACGCTGACTTACGGGTCAAACACCAGCCGGGTGATGTACTCCTTGGGCATGCGGGGCAGCTGATGCGAGAAGACGTTCTGCAGGCCCACCAGCCACATCAGAATCTTCTTGTTGGACTTCTGGGACAGCGAGTTGCCGATGACGTGAAACTCGATGATCCCTCGGCGCTCCTCCAGCCTCGCCGTCTCGTCCCGGGCCGCGTTGGCCGACAGCAGGCTCGGCTTCGGCGGGGAGGAAGAGGAAGACTGACTCAGGGTGCGGAACAAGACGGCTTTCGCAATTTTGATCGCTTTTTTACAAAAACTATCAGCCAATTTCAGCAAAAGACAGGGGGCGGGGGGTGAAGTCTCCTTCTCAGATGTTTTCATAAATACTGGAAGTTTCAGACCCAATGCCAACTCCCTAAAGAGAGATACTAGAGCCTGCTATTAACACACATTTAGAGAAGCATTCCTAAAAATCTTCACGCCACGTGACGTACACAACTTACTACTGCTATATAAAGAAAAACAACGGGATTTTGCTAGCATCACTTGCCTAATACTCTGAGCCACCATGATGACTAAGACCATGCCTGAGTCTTGCTGCACAGCTGGGCTCTGATGTGTGTTGTGCCACATTTGCACTTGCAACACACTGTAAAAAAAACTGAACGACTGTTTTATAATGTGACAGAACTGTCCGGTGGGGGCAGTGTTACATAGGTAAAAAGTCTCTAGACTCATAACTGGTGGGTTGTGGGTTTGAGTCTCTGCTGCAGGTACTGCTGTTGCACCTTGAGTGAGGTAATAATAATCCTTACACTTATATTGTGCTTTTCTGGACACTCCACTCAAAGTGCTTTACAAGTGATGGGGCCTCTGCTCCACCACCACCAGTGTGCAGCCCCACCTGGATGATGCGACGGCAGCCAGAGTGCACCAGTACGCTCCCCAACACCAGCTTTCAGTGGGGAGGAGAGCAGGGTGATGAAGCTGAAACCAGTTCGGAGATGGGGATTATTATTAGGAGGCCACAATTGGGAAAGGCCAATGGGAAATTTGGCCAGGACACCAGGGTGACCACAGGGAGTCAGGACCTCGGTTTTACGTATCATCCAAAGGACGGCGCCTTTTTACAGTACAGCGTCCCCATCACGATACCGGGGCATTGGAACCCACACAGACCGTGGGGTGAGCACCCCCTGCTGGCCCCACTGACACTTCTTCCAGCAACAATCTTAGTTTTTCCAAGGTCACCGATCCAGGTACTGGCCAGGCTCACACCTGCTAGGTGGGCTGCCAGCTGTGAGTTACAGGGTGTTGGGAATTAAGGTACTGCAATCCACCCAGCTGAGAAAGGGGAACCAGCACTGCTGGCTGTAGGCCCTGTGGCAGACTGGAGTCCCATCCAGGTAAAAGGCATGTGCTCCCCGATGGCTTCGCACCTATAAACCACGAGTAGCTCTGGACTCATAACGTACTGCATGTGAAATGAATAGAATTACCGACCTAGGATTTCTCGACCGCCAGCCAATACTGAAATACGCACCGTCACACTTCAACAAAGCGCATAGCTAATGACAGGTCCTTGTGAGGACGGTGCGAATTTATTTCCCAGTAAGGAGGCGGGGGTGTAGAAAACCTGCCAATATCTGGTTGGCAAACCTATCGCCGATTGCGCGGCCAGCAGTGGGCAGTGCTCTGACCTCTGGTCCCAGCATGGCGGCCGGGTCAGTGATGGTCATCATGACCTCGTTCACTAGCTCCATCGGAATGTCGCCCATCACCCGGATCCTCTTGGCATCCTCCAACGTCAGCGTCTCCGAGAGCTTCCTCTTCTCTCCTGGGCAGCAACAAAAATCCCATATATACGAGTTTCTCTCCCTGTGGGAATCTGTTAATACACCCACAGGTGCTAAATAGCTTATTTTATTGCCGGAACTGCAACACACTAGTGATATAACATTATTTATTCCCATGGCTTAACTTGGACAATTAATTGGATATTTTACTTTATTATATATATTCTTCTTTGTCATCATACATGTTCTGTGGGCTCAAGAATTATTGGCACCCTTGATAAAGTTGAACAAAAAAAGCTGTATAAAATAAGTTATTATTATTCCCCCAAAAAAAGTTCTTATGATTTCAAAAAATGTTTTCGAATGACTAATACTGCTGTTTTTCTCAAAAAAATCAAAAGAAAGACCCTCAAGGAACTGGGTTTGAGTCCCTTACTATACATGCAGTGAGATAATGAGTTTTAACGCTGGTTAAATCTGTGAGGATGTGTGGTTTCCTGTCATTTTAGTCAGGAGCATATTTTGTAGCCCAATAATTTGGAAGA